TACCATGTTTAAATAAATTAAATTATTATATTATATAAACGAAATTCAAATATATATTCCATAATTTGGACCTTTAACTTTTAATATTTTTATATATATTATATTTATTAATAATTATTTTTTATTTTAAAAATAGGAATATTATGACAGAAAACACAGAAATGGAAAGTCAACAGTGTACAATATTTGTTCATGATACTGTAGTTGGACATGCAAGCTCCATGAGTAATATACAAGCAGCAAGAAAATTGGCAGCACAAGTTGTTCTAGAAAAAATTGAGAAAAATGAGACGTACCTTGATTCTGTATGTAGTTGTTCAGCATTTCCAAAAAATGATAATAAACAATAATCACTATTTTTTACACACACATTCTCAATCAATTGGCATTTTCTTCTTTCTGTTTTTTCTATTGGTAATTAGACTTTTTTTTGAAGGCAAATTAGCAATGTCTTTATCATTGAATTTTGTTTATTAAATAGCCTGCCTCTCAAGCCATTGATGTATTAGTTTATTCAAATAATGATTTTACTTTATAAACAGTTAAAGATTACAGTGCATTAATAATCTTTCCTATTTACTAATTGGCAATAATTAAATTAAATGATAATTAAAGCATTTGTTTTATTTTCAGCAAGATTTCTGGATATAGGATTATTTCTATATCACAATTGTGATGTTTGGTAAAATTTTTTTCATTTAGCATCCCTGTAATCTCAATGTTCACTTTGTCTGGTTTTGTTGCAGTACTCCCCATATGAGTGACACTTGACCCCCTGTAAATCCGCAATGTCCTGCGACTGATATAGTGTCGATCACTAAGTTATTTTTTTTTAATGATCGACAACGCAAAGAAAACAATAAATAAAATCGTATTTTCAAAATGCTACTAGTCAGTGAAAAAGAGAGAGATCATTTCCAACTTCGAGTATAGAATAGTATAATATATCTAGTTTATCGGTACAGAGAGATTTTTGAAGGTAACAAACACCATTGATGAAAACGTCTCCATCAAAAATTGCCAATAGTGTAACGGATATAATAAAAACACATTTTTCAAAATGCTACTAGTCAGTGAAAAAGAGAGGTATTGTTTCCAACTTTGAGTATGAAATGTATAATATATCTAGTTTATCGGTACAGAGAGATTTTTGAAGGTAACAAACACCATGGATGAAAAAGTCACGATCAAAAATTGCAAATAATGTAACGGGTATAATAAAAACATATTTTTCATAATCCCACTAGTCAATGAAAAAAAGTCATGTCGTTTTCATTTTCGAGTGTGTTGTAGTATAATATATCTAGTTTGACTGTATAGAGAGATTTTTTCAGGTAATAAATAACCAGTTGTGAAAAAATCGTGACTAAAAAACACTAAAATCATCATATTGCAACGAGAAAGGTCTGGGACACTTTACCGACACCTACTTACCGACAGGACACTTTACCGACAAGACGCTTTGCCGACACCCACTTTACCGACAGGACATTTTACCGACAGGACGCTTTGCCGACAGGACACTTTACCGACAATCTAAGTAAAGTCGAACTTGACGTAGAAATGGTCTTGCGCGGAACACCACGACTCCCACAGAAACCACAAGATCGTAATCGTGGAATACGGATTCAAACAGTATTAAATGACCGTAACATTAGATCAACTATAAAGTTTCTTCGGGGCATTGCCCATAATATTTCATTTTAAAATTTTTTTTTGTGTATATAAAAATAAAAGGTTTTTTGTAAATAAGAATATGCAATTTTTATCAATTTCGTCAGACAAAAAAAATATATATTACACATGTATCTATATTGTATTTTTATGAACTTATTTTTGATGCAAAGTAAGGATAATAAGTGGTGTTATTAGTTAATTAACGGTTGATTTAACTTGTTGTAAAAAACCAAATTTTTAGCTAGTTATCCAGGTCTTCACACAGTCCTTGGCAAATTGTTAACACAATACTTGTCGACAAAGTGTCCTGTCGGCAAAGTGTCTTGTCGACAAAGTGTCCTGTCGGCAAAGTGTCTTGTCGACAAAGTGTCCTGTCGGCAAAGTGTCCTGTCGGTAAAGTGTCCTGTCGGTAAAGTGGGTGTCGGTAAAGTGGGTGTCGGTAAAGTGTCCGGGTCCGCAACGAGAATAATAAAAATCCATATTTTCATAATCCTACTAGTTCGTGAAAAAAAGTCATGTCGTTTTCATTTTCGAGTATGTTGTAGTATAATATCTGCTTTGACTGTACAGAGAGATTTTTTCAGGTAATAAATACCAGTTGTGAAAAAGTCGTGACTAAAAAACACTAAAATCATTATATTGCAATGAGAATAATAAAAATCCATATTTTCATAATCCTACTAGTTCGTGAAAAAAAGTCATGCCGTTTTCATTTTCGAATATGTTGTAGTATAATATATCTAGTTTGTCTGTATAGAGAGATTTTTTGCAGGTAATAAACACCAATTGTGTAAGAAATCGTAACCAAAATCACTAAAATCAACGAGAATAATAAGAATCCATATTTTCATAATCCTACTAGTCCGTGAAAAAAAGTCATATTGTTTTCATTTTCGAGTATGCTGTAGTATAATATATCTAATTTGAATGTATATAGAGATTTTTGCGGGTAATAAGTGCCAGTTGTGAAAAAATTGTGAAATAAATTTTTTTTTAAAAAAAAAAAATTTCGCCATGAAATTCTCAGGTAAAATCCGCTCATATTGATTTACATAATAACATTAATTACCGTAACTGAAACTGTATCTTCTAAACGTTCTATTTCTCAACTTTAGTAAACTGAATTTTTGGGGAAGGAAGAGATCAAAATCAAAAGATAAAACTTTGTGATGAAATGATATTTGAAATTTGTTAATTAATAAAATTGAAATTTGAACAGGAATATTTTCGTTTTCCAAAAATAATAAATGGTTGTGGTTATTTTTACGTCACCGTATTGTGCAAATCCCAATTGCTATCTGTTTGTCATGATTTGTGAAACTGAAAAACTTATCTGTTTTGGTTCAAAACGTCAAGGTTGAGCGAAACAGATACTTGACTGAAAGGAAATTGTGTTTCGCTTTAGATGTTTTTTGTGTGGTGTCAACCGCTGTCTATCATTAGATCTTCGTCTTTCTCTGACGTTTCAGACCGTTCAAAATAACCAAAAACTGATGGTCTTATCTTGGAACCTTTACCTCGGATCGTCAAAGGCTTGTGTGATATTTTCTGGTCACGAGACCGGGATTAAAAACACTTTAACATTTTATTTATTGTCATTATCGGTCAATTCAATGATCGATAAACAAACAATGTGTACAAATTTTTTTTGATTGTGGATGATCTGGATAGGAAAGTTTATATTATTATTTTATCTGGTTAAGAAAAATTTTATTTTAGTTGAAATAATCTTTGCAAAAGATTTTTCTTTATTAAGAAAAAAAAAGCTTTGTTGATTTTTTTTAACAATTGAAATTTATAAATAACTTTTGATGTTTGCATGAAGCTTGTTCTTCTATAACGATAGACTTGGAAAAAAATATCCAATTAACCCATTGATCTTTAATCTGTGATAAATAAATAAACACGAGGAAAAGATTAGGACAAAAAGGTCTTTTTTTGATAGCTTTGTTAATTTTTCTAACAATCTAAATTCGTGAATAACTTTTGATTCACATATGGTTCTTCTTTGATGGATCCTTTATTAAATTATTAGACTGTAACACCCTCCAATGACTGAAGGTACCTTTTGCAGCATGGTGGAAGTTTGATTTTATTGGATATAAAA